AGATTCATAGGTCGACACTCAACCGCTGAGCCACACTGGCTGGGCATAAGAGAACATTCTTAATGAAGACACTTTGAATCGAATAAAAGTAAAATATATTAATGTTGTTTAAACTTCTAACATTTCCAAAAAAGATATTTTGAATACCAAGAAAAATCATTTGTATAAAAGATCCATTTGGTTTTCAAAATCCTAAATCCACATATAAATTAAAGTTGATGCCCAAAGAAGAAAACCAATTACGAATGTTTTGTTATTAAAATACATTGAAGAGTGATAATAAACGTATCACCATTTTAGATTAAGATTTAAAAGAATTTGCTAAAATTTGCAATTTCAGTTGCTAAGTAAAGTACGTATATTGTTATTAATAGCATCCACAGCAATTTACTTGTGTGAATCAGATTTTTTTTTTTTTAACCAACGTAACTAAAACACAGTGGGAAGAAATCAACATCAGCACCACGCTCCTGGGCTGTGCATGTAGCATTGTCCTCCTGTCTCCAGCCTGGGATAAATTTAGACAAATGTGCCTGAAATCATGAATAAAATCATATTTAATAGTAACTCTATCATATTTAACAGTACATGTTATTTTATAAATAAAACTTTCCTTGGTTTTTAATCTATTTATACATTATCTATGTGTATGCTGGGTGGTGATAAAAAAGGGTATGTTCTGTGAGTTGACCTTTACAAAAAAAGTGTTTTAATGTTTCCCTCCTGTTTCTCCATAGCCAGCATCTGCAGTGGGCTGTTTATAAATGTGTTTCTACCTGTGCTCAGTCCTCTGCAACCAGGCTCTCTGACCTCATTATTATTCTGGGAAAGGCTTTCAAACTCAAGTCTCACATCCATTAGAGTCTTTTCTGTGTTTATCTTTGTCCGTTCTGTTGCCATTGACCTTGTTGCTGGATTATTTTAATTTCATTGTTATGCCACCTAAAAAAAAAAACCCAACACTTTGCAATTATAAAAGTAAACATGTTTAAGGGAAAAATAAACTCACCGATAACACCACCACAGAGAAACACTATTAACATTTTATGTTTGTTTTCCAGTAATATTAATATATGCATGTATATTTAAAGTTACATGTACATCCGCATCAAATATTTAAATAATAAAATTGAAATCATTTAGTACATGGCATTTTACAATCTTAGCTATATAGAAACCACTTTTCATGTTATTCAAAATTCCTCTGCTGTATTATTTCTTTTTGTCAAGTTTATTTTTAATCAGTTTACATTCAATATTGTTTTGTATTAGTTTCATAGACCTATTCTTCAGGGTTATGTAGCATGCTGCTTTATGGATACATACATCATAGGTTATTTTTCTATTTCCCTGTTGTTGGACATTTACTTAAATAGTTTTCAATTTTTAGGAATAATTAAATGACATTAAAATCCTTGTAGAAAATCTTTACCCACTTCCATAGTCACTTGCTTAGGATGAATTCCTAGACGTGAGATTGCTGGGTCAGAGCCATATCTATGCTGCAGACACATTCAGAATCCCTCCAGGAATGTGGTACCCAGTCACCCTTCCACCAGCACCCGTGACATGGGAGGACCTAATTGACCAGCTCCTTAGTTACTAGCAATGCCATTTAAAATCTCTTAGCCAATTTCATTGATTTTTAAAAAATCTTATTTTATTTAAAAGTTTATGCTTTTTTCTTCCCTGTGAGCTGACTTCATATTCATTACTTCTTTTTTTAGGATGTGTATCTGTTTTCTAATACTTTGTAAAAACTCTTCTTATTATAAAGTTATTCAAAGTTTATATCTCTACAATGGTTATTTTTTTTCTAGTTTGTATCTTAAGCAAATTTGTTTTAATTATAAAGATAACAAATATAATTAAAAAGTAAAAAATAGCAATATACACAAAATTAAAATATGACTTACTCTTTCCTCCTTCAGTTTACCCATCAGAGTATCATTTTTTTAAAATTTTGAATGGAACTTCTGATATACATACAGGTTATACATATATTGAAATAATCAAATCTATTTATCTTTCTTTTTTTTCAGTTTCTTCTTAGCTGTTAGAAATAATCTTGTTGCAGTAAGATAAGTATATTTATTTACATTTTCTTTAAAACCTTTTATGGTGCAGTTATTAAACTTAACTTTTTAACACATTTGTAATTTATTTTCTATATCACATAAAGCTTTGACCTATGTTTTTCCCAAATAATTAAGAATGTAGTCTAACTTAATTATATCATTGACTATAATGTTAATAATAGTAATACTTTTTTTCAGCACTGGAAACCTTTCTCCAAGGCTGGCTTCATGGGATGCGGATGGTGAGTTGCAGAGTCCTTAGGGGCTGGGACTTTGCAAGTTTACTTGTTAGTACCCAGGTCCCAGGAGGGCTTAAGAAGTATGAACTGGACCCCATCTGCTGGACCTCTTCTGGGACACTTCCTTTCTTGGCTGCCTTCCCACACCCGGGGTCTCTGATTGCTCCTTCTCAGCCTCCTCTTCAGGCACTTGTGCCTCTGCCCACCACCTGAGGGTAAGTAATCCCCAGCTTCCTCCCTGCCATCCTGCTTCTCCATTCCATCCCCTGCCTCCCAGAAACCTTTGCTAAACCTTAGGCATCAACAATTCTTAATACTTGATGCTTTCAAATCCTCATTTTGATCACAGAGCCCTGATCTGAGTTCCTGCTAAGGAAAACACCCCACGGCTATCTCGTTATTATTTCAACCCAAACACGCTCAAACTGAACTCATAAAATCCCAGATTTCAAACCCTTCTCTCCCTCTCTCCTTTACCTTGGAGGACAGGCCACCATCCTCCCGTTTCCCCAAACAAGAAAATCAGAAGTCATCCCATAAGCTACCACACCAGTCAGCAAATCCTGCTTCTTCTGCTCCCTACATATCTGTTTTTTGTCCCTCTTTTCCTTTCCACCCACCATTGGCTTAACTGATTTCTAGGTTACTGCAATATCTTCTGTTCTCCCAGCGGCCAGCCTACCTCTCTGCAGTTTATCCTCCTCACTCACCACTACAGCTACATTTCCAAAGAAAACACGTTATACTTCAAATCCTCTTACCTCCCAATCACAGATTTCACAACAGGGACTGGGGGTCAGGAGAGGGGTGGTGGTGGTGGTGGTGGGGAGATGAGGTTTCCAAATGATTTCTGCTTTCCTCTCCATTTCCTCTAACAACCATCCCATCCCAGGGCCTCCATCAGTGAATGACTTGATGACTGAAGCACGGGGCACTCTCTCCATATCTGAGTCCCTGGCTCACTCTGCCTCCCCCTGTGGGCACTCAGGTTGCCTCCCAAGTTCTGCCTTAGGCTCTTCTTCACTGGGGAAGCTGCCCCTGTGTGCTCCCCGGCACCCTCATCCCAGTCAGATAGCCCTTTGCTGCTGTGCTGCTTGGGCCAGCGCCCCCTTCCTTCTCACTCCCCTGCCCCCATTCCAGAGGAAAACAATTCAGCACCAGAAAGGAAGGGAAAGGGAGGGAAGGAATATTTCTTGGATTTAATAATATGTTTTGAGACCAACTCTTGTTATTGTTATTTGGGAAGTCAGTGTCTCTGGGCCAGGTTGCTTCGTGTGTGTACACACACGCATGAGAGGGGGGGGAGAGAGAGGAGAGAGAGAGAGAGAGAGAGAGAGAGAGAGAGAGAGAGAGAGAGAGAGAGAGAGAGAGAGAGAGAAGGAGAGAGCGGGGGAAAAGAGAGAACGGGGAGAGAGGGGAGAGAAGAGGGAGAGGTAGAGAGAGGGGCGAGAGGGAGTGAGGAGAGGAGGGGAGAGGACGAACGATAAAACCGAAGAAGAAAGAAGCAGAGAGAAGATAGACGAAGAGAAAGAAAGAAAGAAGACGAAGAAGGAAGAGAAGAAGAAGAAGAAGCTAGACGAAGGAGCAGTAATGTAGACAAGAAGAGAAGAGAAGAAGAAGAAGAAGAAAGAAGGAAGAGAAGAAGAAGAAGAAGAAAGAAGAGGAAGAAAAAGAAGAAGAAAGAGACGAAGAAAAGAAGAAGATAGAAGAAGAAGGAAAGACAGAAAGAAGAAGAAGAAGAAGAAGAAGAGCAAGAAGACGAGAAAGAAGAAGACAGACGAAGAAGAAGAAGAAGAAGATATAGAAAGAAAGAAGAAAGATAGACGAAGAAGAGAGAACGAAGAAGAAAGAAGAGCAGAGTAAGAAGAAAGAAGAAGAAAGCAGAAGAAGACAAAGAAAGAAGAAGAAAAGAAGACGAAGAAGAAGAAGAAGAAGAAGAAGCAGAAGAAAGGAGAAGAAAAGAAGATAAAAGAAGAAGGATAGACGAAGAAGAAGTAAGAAAGAAGACAGAAGAAGAAGAAGAAGAAGGAAGAAGAAGAAGAAAGAAGAAGAGTAGGGGTGGGGAGAGAGAGGAGACAGAGAGGGAGGGGGAGAGAGAGAGGAGAAAGAGAAAGAGGGGGGGAGAGAGAGTGAGGAGAAAGAGAGGGAGAGAGGGGGGTGGAGGAAGAGAGAGGGGGAGAGGGAGAGAGAAAAAGAGAGAGAGAAGGTTGCATACACGCTGGATAAAGTAACCCTAATCACAGGTAGCGCCTGGGCCGGGCACCCAGAGTGGTGCAGAGTGGACCCAGAGAGCTGATCATTGAAAGGTGAAAGCATGGGCCAAGGGATGCAGCGGGGGGAGGGGGGGGGGCGCCACATCCGGCAGGGGACCCCGCGCCCCGGGCTTGGCAGCCCCCACCCCGCGCAGGGGGCGGCGCAGGGCGGGCCGCGGGGAGGACCGCGGAGAGGCCCCTCCCGCCGTCTCCGCGCAGCCGATCAGACGCTCCCGGGGGCCGAGCTGTCAACGCCCGGCAGCGCGCCAGCGCAGGACATCCGCCTCCACCGCTCCTCGGAGCCTCCTGCCCCAGGCTCCCCTTGGTGGCGGGGCTCCCCTTGGTGGCGGGGCCCAGGGAGCGTCATCCCACCTGGGGCCCGACCCCCCTGTGGCCGTGGCCCCGCTCAGGGCGCACCTGACCCGGCGGGCGGCGGGCGGGCGGCGGGGCTGACGTGGCCGCGCGCGGAGCGGCCGTGATTCACCAGCCGCCGCGGGGCCGGGGCTGGGAGCGGGCCGCGGGGCGCGCAGGGCCAGGCAGCGGCGGCGGCGTCCCCGACTGGCCTCCTCGCGCTCCTTCTGGGCCGCAGGGCCCCGGAGGAGGTCAAGATGGAAGAGATCCTGAGGAAGCTGCAGAAGGAAGCGTCCGGGAGCAAGTACAAAGCCATCAGAGAGAGCTGCACCTGGGCCCTGGGTGAGCGCGCGGGGCGGGATGCGGGCACCTGCGGGGGCTGGGGCTGGGGCAGGGGCTGGTGCTGGGGCTGGGCCGGGGCTGAAATCCTTTCGCCGAGCCTTTCTTTTGCATCCATTTCGCTCAATTGGAAGAGTTGCCTCGGTGCATTGAGGTACGATGGGAGGATCTCGGTTCGGGTGTTGACATCCGTTCGTCTCCCTTCTGGTCTTTTTATCTTCTCCTAAACATTCACGGGGATCCGCTGCCCTCCACGCCCGGAGGGTCCCTCCTCCAGATCCCCGGCACAGGGGACCGTGGTCACCCATCCCCGAGGGAGACAGGACCACAAAGGCTGGTGCGAATCCAGGGGCCTGATTCCCAAGCGCCTGCGGGAAAGAGGGAAGTTGGACCATCAACCCGGATCTCGAAACATTGTCCAATGTAATCAGGAAGGAACGGCTGTTTTAATTTGATTTCCTGGCAGAGGCCAGCTCGTTAAGGATCGTCTTTTGTTTTTTATTGCACATAAAAAAATAACATCCAGGTGGGATTGTGTGTACCACTGTCATTCTATTGTGGCCCGCCCTCCAGGCAGGTGGGATTCAGATTTGTGAGCTGTGCAGGCATTGAAGTAAGTTCCATCTGGCTTAGAACCCAGCCTCGGAGAAAGCGGAAAGACATTGCAACAATCAGGCAAATTTGTTTCCCATCTGACTGGGGTTGCAGAACTCAATCTCCCAGAAATCAGAAAGACATTGTAATCTCGCAAGGATTTGGGCAATCAAGATAGTCTGGATAGGAATACAAAGAGATTGGGAACACACTGTGGGAGGGGGATGCTTTTAAAAAAGGAAAGGCCAAAGGGAAAGCCGGGCAGCTCTGAGGGGCCCTGGCTTTGCCCAAGTCTGCAGGTGCTTCCTCCTTTCCCACGCCATTAACATATGAAATGGAAATCCTTTCTCTCTTGACCAAGAAACAATCGGTGCTTGTCAAGACATTATCCTGTGGTACAGCCTAAAAAGAGAGAAGTACATTAGCATGTTTCCCACTACATGTAAAATTCTTATGGCATTTCAGGCGACTCTGTTAATTCACATATGTTTGGGTGGGTGTGTGTGTACAGACATTCATAGAGACATTATATATATATATATATTTTTTTACAACTGCATATGTTCACAATATTTTCTAAAATATTGTCTAGGAAGTTGATCTTGTAGTTAGAACCAGAACTTGACCATTTGTTTACTGCTAATGAAAAATGGACCAGATAAATAAGTGAGCGGCAAGGCTCTTAAAGCCACAGTACTGTTTTTGCATTACCATTGTCATTCAGCAGAGTGATTCAGAGCTAGATTCCCAAAGGCCTCTACTGAAAGGTCACAGATGGCTGGGTAACATAATAAAGCAGGGCCCAACTGCACTCTAAACATGCCATTCCTTGTATTCATTATTACTTCGCTATAACTTACTCAGATTTAGGTAAAAGGAGGAGGAGAGCATTCTAGTATTTTTAATGTTTGATGCCCAGCTTCTTGTTACATTGCTGAGATTAGATATTTGAAGCTACCCAGGAAGACCAGAGCTGAAGCAGGTAGCTTGTCCAAGCTGAGAGCCTAGAGTCCAGCCGGACTGTAAGAATAGATGGGTTTCCCTCCTCTAGTTAGCAAGATGAGAGGGGAGTGCATGAAATAGTTAAATAATAGTGCGGGGGGCATGCATTGTGTAGGCTGGCAGAGTAAACCAGGAAAACAGATCAAAGAAGAGAGGCTGACTGTGAGGGCAAGGGTGCTGGGAGAGGGGGGATAGGTGTGACTGGTGGGACTTTTGAAGTAGATTTGACTTGATAAATGGGTAAGCTATGGCTTTCTTCTTTTCTTTCTTTCTTTAGCAAATATTTACTTATTAAGCAGTGAGATATAAGGATGAATAGATGAATAAACACTTCCTCCCTGTAGAGGTTTGTTAGAAGGCCATGTGGAAGGGAGAATGCAGCCTTTAAAAAGGCCTAAAGATATGGTTTCCCTATTCTCTTTTCTACTCCAGTCCATGGTCAACTTTTCCATCTTTTTTTTTTTTTTTTTTTTTACTAAAAACAATTCTCACTCCTCAACCCCATAATTTTTTTTAATGATTAAGGTATAAATTCCTTAGAACTCTCTTCAGAATCTAGCCCCAGACTTCTTTCTTTCTCCAACAGAAGCTGCACGACTTTCTTGAACACACTGTGCCCTGCACATGTCTCTGCCTTTGCTCACGCTGGTCCTGCCAGGAATTCTCTTTCCAGTCTCCTAAATCCCAATCACACGGGAAGAATTTATTCTCTGAACTCAGGTGAATCGTTTGGCCCTCTGGCTTCAGAGGCCTGTCCGCATGACTTTCTTCAAGCACCTGCTGCTTTGGATTATAGTTAACTGTAGGCACAGCCACCCTCTAGGGCACATGTGTCAAACACAAGGCCCGCGGGCCAAATCCGTCCCACCAGGCCTTGCAATGTGGCCCGCACCACGCTGTCATCACTGCACTCCGCTGCGTTTCCATCACAATGACAGTTTATGACTGTTCAGTAAACCATTCGGCCCGCAATTTAGCCTGGATTTTAGATTTTGGCCCCTTCTCTGATTGAGTTCGACACCCCTACTAGGGGCAGAATATTGAGAAATATGTTGGGATCAAGAAACCAAAAAAAACTAATTCAAACAGAATGTATTCATTTTTAATTAAATGTCCCTTGGAAGGCTGGGGGTTGAGTTTGGTTCAGGAATTACCGTGTTTCCCCGAAAATAAGACATTCTCCGAAAATAAGACCTAGCGCATGGAAAGATAAGACATCCCCTGAAAATAAGACCTACCGCAACTTTGGGAGAAAAAAATTAATAAAAGACACTGTCTTATTTTCGGGGAAACAGGGTAGGTAGTGTTTCTCAGACCTTGCTCTGCTCTTTTTGCCATAACTCAATGCTCTCCATGTGTCTCCACATCTTCGGCTCATGAGTGATCCTATTTAGACCATCTCATGAAGAAGGGGCATCAGCACACTTAGACCATCATGGGTGAGATGGGTCACTTCCACACTTAGCCCATCTTAAGAGAAAGGAGTCACCTCCCACTGGGACCATTATAAGGGAGAGGAGTCATCTCTCACTTAGCCTGAAATGGATCATCTCAAGAGAGGGGAATATCTCCAGTCATTCCTTGCTTTCATTTGTTTTCTCTTGATGCCACTTTCTATATGTATCTTTGAAGAAGTCCTTTAGCTAAGGAATGGAATGGGCTAACTGGCTTAGGCCTAGGCTACAAGGCCCAGTGAAATCCCAGAGTCTGGGAAGGATGGTTTCCTCAAAACCAGATTGGGGTGCTGCTTCAGAAGGTGGGGAGTGGATACTGGTCAACGAAAACAACAAATAGCAACAGTGTAGTCGTGAGCTTCTTGAGCAAAGGGACAGGTGCTTGTGCTTTTTTTGTGCCTTCTGCTCCTACAATATGAGAGGCAGATGGTCAATGAATAAATCAACAATGGTAATGACTTGTTTGAGTATCAAGTAATATTAACATTTTTTCTATTTGTAAGACCAATACATGTTCATTTTTTAATACAGAAAAATATTCAAACAGTATAAAGAAAAAAATTAAAATCACCTGTAATCTCACAACCCAGAGATAACACCACATTTTGGAGTATTTTCCTTCTGCAAAGTGTGATATATCTATATATATATATAAAAGCCCAGCAACCAGAATGGCAGAACAACTGGAATGACTAGTGGCTGTGATATGCACTGTGGCAGCCAATTGGCCTGATCTGGGCCCCAATTGCCCCCTCTCATGGCTGGCCCGGCCTCAATTGGTCCCTAACACCCCAATCTGGGGCAGGTCCTGCTAGCCAACTGCCCACTGCCCCTCCCCTCGGCTGGCCTGGCCCGATGGGCCTCCCCACTGGGGCAGGCCAGCCAGAACCCACCTATGCACAAATTTGTACATCGGGCCTCTAGTATCATATATGCTAGATTACCATTTATATTTTAACTTTAGCACTTTATGTCATTAATACACCTATGAAAATTGGTATTTTTAATAGGGTTATAATAAATGGCAAGAAACATACATGTACCTCTCGTCTAATTTGAGCTATCTAGTTTGGTAGATTTTTTTTTTTTTTCATCAGTGAGGAAATGGTCTGGCCAGAAGGTTCACCTTGTGAAGGGCCTGAGAGACTAGCATTCTCTTTCAAGAACTGGCAATCCTGGAAGCCGTGAGCTGGGAACGGCAGGGTGAAGTACAATAGAATGGCACAACATCGTTCTGGAAGGGACCATGCCCTTATTTTAGAAATGTTTTTACTTATATCAGGGACTCATATAGAATGGATTTAGAAAATGGAGGAAAGGAGAAAGGAAGTTAGAGACTGAAACACCAAGTAGTGGAAAGATAGTCTATCCAGCCACCATCCTTCCCTCTATCTTCCCACCTACTTTTCCTTCTAGCCACAGTTTCTGTTACTTTCACAGCCAAACTTCTACAAGAGTAACTATAGTGAGTGTGTCCACATCCTCCACTCATTCTTCAACTCACTACAATCCAACTTTCTCCTCCAGCATCCCACCAACTCTCAGTAAAGAAGAACATACATGGACCTCAGTCTAGCAGACCGTCCTCACATCCACCTTACAGGGCCTCTTGGCCATACTGACCATACTGGGCACCCACTTTACCTTGGCCTCCGTGACCATGCCCTACCAATCTTATCATACTTCTTGAGCTGCTCTGTACCTTTGCTAGCTCTTCTTCCCAGCCTAAGAGTTTGAGTTTTGCAAGAACTAACCACGAGCCCTCGTCTCTTACTCCCAATCCTGCTGGATTGAACACACCCACAGCGTCAGTTCAGTTTCTGACAATGTGATGCCCTTGTTTATATCACCAGCTCACACCTGTGCTCTGATCTCCAAACCCCAATGCAGCTACCTACTCAACATCTCTTCTTGAGGGATAGGTTCCTTATGGCTTCTCTGTGACTCCCCTTTCTCTTTCCCCTTCTTCTAGCTCTTCTAGCATTTGTAGAGTTGGGCACCTTTGTACATTTTTTTTAAAATATATTTTATTGATTTTTTACAGAGAGGAAGAGAGAGGGATAGAGAGTTAGAAACATCAATGAAAGAGAATCATCGACCAGCTGCCTCTTGCACACTCCCTACTGAGGATGTGCCCGCAACCAAGGTACATGCCCTTGACCGGAATCGAACCTGGGACCCTTTAGTCCACAGGCCGATGTTCTACCCACTGAGCCAAACTCGTTTCGGCCCATTGCACATTCTGATTGCGCATAAACCCCTCTCTCTGATAGGGAAAATCATGACAATTTGCTTGTTGGGTGTCAGAGCCTCCGTGTGGGGAGCAGCATCAAGCTGTCCTGGCCACTGGCCCTGCTGGGCCGTGCTGACCTGTGTAGCCTTTGAGCTCCTCCCTGCCCCTGAAGCTCAGGACTTCGTTTCCTTGTTGTCCTATCACCTTAAGGACATTCCTTTCACTTCCTCTCTTGGCCACAGCACCACTGACCCCGCTGTTTCCATCTTTCTGCTGTGTGGGTTGCCTTGCTTATACCAATGTTTTGTCCCATTGGCCACCATAGGCCCAGATCCTAACATCATGCTTTCACCTGTTCTTACTCCTGAGTCTCAGGGAGACATTTGGTGTCCATTGTTCCCCCTGCTCTCTTAGCAAGGTTGTTTCTCCTTCCCCAACGAAAATGGCTCAAATTGACAGGACTTGCTACCGTGTTTCCCCGAAAATAAGACATCCTCCGAAAATAAGACCTAGCGCATGGAAAGATAAGACATCCCCTGAAAGTAAGACCTAGCGCAACTTTGGGAGAAAAAATTAATATAAGACATTGTCTTATTTTCGGGGAAACAGGGTAGCTCTAAGCAGTGAAGAATCTGCATCAATACAGTTTGAGCTAAAGAATTGAAGACAAGTTGGAGCTATTGAAATAGAACAGTTTTTTGTTTTTTCTTGGGAGAGAATAGTGACCTTTTCATTATTTCTACTACTGGAAGCACAATAGTGCGAGCAATCTACAATGGTAAACATCCACATTGAATTAATGAGATTTGGTTGAGCCTCCCAATCAGTATTTCTAATTATAGTGCGATTTAAAAAGGTTTAATCCACCATGTCATAAATGTGTGCAAGAATAATGAGATGTTACATAAAATGCTTTGTGAACTTGAAAGCCTCTTATGTATAAGTTATTATTGAAGGGTATTAAAACCATAGTTTCAAGGAAACCACTTTTCTTTCTCTGTCTCTATTGTAAGAATATAGTATTTTCGTCAGTTGTAACTAGATTAAATCGGCATTCTGATTCCAGTTAGGAGTTGAATTTTTCATTCTATGTCTCTATAGGGAAATATGTCTCTGGGGCTATTAGGGGAGGAGTATCTTTTAATATGGACGATTTTCAGTCAAGAGAATTGAAAATTGACTACTTTATAATTATAGAAATTTCTGGGGAAAGAAAGATACAAACAGTGAAATTATGTACAGTTCAGATTCTAACTTTGTACATATTTATTTTTAACTGTAATTTTCTTTTTGCAGAAACCTTGGGTGGTGTTGATACCGTTGTCAAGATCCCTCCACACTTGCTGAGGTAAGGAGGCTGGAATTGTATAACGTAACTGTTGCCCGCTGTGCTTTCCCTAAAGTCCAGGTAACTTCGTTGGTTTGTAGGATGATACTTGCTGACTGCTGGCTCTTTCACATGCACAGAGTGGGATATTTCATGAGGTTGGCATGATGGGAATTGATTGCACTGATTTCCACCTGTCTGTGGAGTAAGGTAAACCTCAAGCCAAAGGAACAAGCTATGGAAGTCAGGGATGGGAGGATGATGGTCGGGGGCAGAAATGACTATAACCTAAGTGAGGATATGGACGAGGGACAGTATCTTCTGTGGATGAGGAAATGGAGCCCCTCTTTGTGTGTGTGTGTGTGTGTGTGTGTGTGTGTGTGTGTGTGTCGGGGAGAACGATGTGTGGAATGGATTCAAGCTGTCACTTGCTCCTTGGCTGGTCACCATCTCACAAACAGCAGCCACAGGCAGCAGCCCTGAAACCGTGAACAGCTTTTCCTACCTTCCTTGCTGCCCTCATTTTTGTAATTTCTTCTCATCATCAGAAATACATGTCCTTTGTGGAAAATTTGGAAGAACAAATGACAAAGTAGTTCATATTTACACAGGCCGAGGAGAACCACTGAAAACAATTTAATACATTTCTTAATAGGCTTTTTCTTCCTCACACAGATATCTTTACAAATTCATGTGAAATTTTATTTACTAATTAGTTCTCTGCTTTTTTTTTTTTTGCTAGCATCATGTGAAGAACATTTTCTAATGTCAGTATATGTTCTTTAAATTAAAATATTGCATATTCTTCCATTATATGGCTTTTGTAACATAATTATAGTTGCTTTCTTCATATTGGACACTTGGATTGTTTCCAGATTTTTTTTTGAGATTATTAAAAATATTGAATTGTTGAGTGTAATTTCTGTATTTTCAGGACACTATGATTTATTAGGTATTTTCTCTCTTTTCAAGGAGATTGAACAAAATTTATGTTTCTGTCTTTTTAAAAAAAATTATTTGTCTCGTGTTGGTTGATCTGCTCCTGGCTGATCTATTATAAAGGAATTTATGTGTTAATCAAACTGAGTGTGCATAATGCTAAATGGGCAGGCATCTGGCGGCATTCCTGCTTGGAGGAGGGGAACGCCTGCTGGGTGTTTGTGTTCACGAGAGAATGACTCTCCAAGACCCAAAGCGTGAGTAGTTTAGGGAGATGACTTCTGGTCCCCAACTTCTAGAGGCACCCTTTCTTAAAACTGATCTTCTTCCCAATTGATTTTGCCACATCTTCTTTTCCATCTCACCTCTTACAGTCACCCTTCCCCTACTTGACGAAGGAGAGACACAGCTGTTACCCATCCCATCCTGAATCTGAGGTGTGCTGCCCTGGGGGACAAACTCTCTTCCCACCAACAAAGGACTATGAATCTATTAGTGTCTGTGTTGGTAAAGGGGGTGGGTATAATGACCAGGGCACACATCTTTTTGCGGGGTAGTTTTTACTTCTTAGCCTTCAGCAAAATTGAAGGAGGACTTAATCCAGTCGCAAGATAATAGGTAAAAATATTTTTTGATAAATCTCCATTCAGTTTTCATTTATGTAAACAAGGTTTTTTACCGCTTATGTCTATAAAAGTGGGGGGGGGGAGGGAGGTATGGAATTAATGGTAAATCCAGCCTTATTATAGCAATAAGGAATATTTATCCATAGGTGTATAAACTAATAAGAGGAGAACAATACACTAGCAATATCCATTTCTTTTTCTCAAATTTTTATTTTTTGATTTTAGAGAGAAAGAGAGGAGATATATCTATATTTATACCTATATCTATTGAATATATATCTATATCTACATATCTATACCTACATCTATAGAAAAAAATGCATTTCTAATAAAATACTTTCTTTGTTGACTACATTAACATTTCTGTTAAGTAATTATTAATATTTTTGGATCATCTGTGAGCATTAGGAATGATAGCTGAAACCAGAAAAAAATTGAACACTCTTGGCTTAATGGAAATTTTTAAAAAATCACACTATACATATTTTTTGTTATAGAGAAATATGATGGGAAGATAAATGAAAGTCCCTTAAGCATTAAAACATAATCTTGAGAGAACAGTCTGTGGGGAAGAGGAATGGAAATACAAGTTCAAGGAGAAAAGAGAACAATGCAGCTTTTTTGTTGTTAAAGGAGAGTTTGTTCCTGTATTTTTTTGATGGGTAAAGGTGGTTTTCAAATGGGTGTGGTATTTAGATTTCATTACATTAAATAAGTGCTATGGTTTAATTAAAACTTTTAATAATTTTAACATGCCAGAATTATAGCCTTTGCATTTAATTAAAATTATAATTAACATTTTAAATGGTAATTTAAAGTGTGTGAAAACCAAAATGTTAACCTTTTCTTAAAGACTACAAGAGCAAAAATGTTTCATGACACTGCTCTGTAGCTTGTTTCCCAGTCCAAAGAGTTGTTGAACCTACAGCGAGTCTTCTGGTCTATTGGGTGGGACTGTTCATCAGGAGACAGCTGGCATTTTCCAACTCTTGGTGTATGTGTATGACCAGATGAGTTGGATAAAAAACAGGGTTCATGGGCCTACAGACGTATGTTTTGTCTCCTATTTAGACATTTAGCTTTATTTTAGTCCATAGTCTTACAATATACTCCAAAGCCTGCTAGCTATCTTATATAAGCCACAGGAGGGAGGCAGAAATTGGTTGGAAGGATACAGATGAGAGACTGTGGATAAATACATACAGGTGTCCTTCCATATCTTCACCATTAGTAGAGATTTAATTCAGAGATTTTATTCTATGATAAAGAGCTGGTGATGCCATCCTTATATACAAAGGCATGTGTATTATTGTATTCCAGGTGTGCAGTGTGTCTGCCAAGCATTCGAATAAGAGAATGGGACCATATGAACGAGACAGCAGATGTGAGCCTGCACTCAGAGACTTTGTGTTGTGAGGGAGGAGAATAAAATATATATATAGCTGGAAAACACTGTTAGAAGGTTGCAGGTGTAGAATTTTATCCATTTAAGGGGGTTTCATTTTGACTGATTTGCAATAGTTGGGAGTCTTTTAAGTTCTCATTTAGTTATTAAATCAATAACTTTATTATTTAATTTATTATCAGGAAAGTGATACAAGCAAATATACTGTAATTGTTTAATGCTGTAAATGGTTCAGTGTGGTGTTGGTATATCTCAGTGGGGAAGGCCTTTTCTCCTTCTGTTGTGAATCAGTCCTATGATTCATCTTCCAGGCACTTTTAAGCCCAGAGAGAGCTTACTCTGTCCAGTCATTATATGTTATTGTTTTTTTTAATTAAATTTATTGGGCATGCTATGATGTTTAACATGCCATCTTCTTATTGTTTGAGCACCTGCTCAAAAAATCTAGTCACTGTAAATATTTGTCTGCTCATGAGAAAGTATTTGAATATATCAATTATTAAAATTTTTTTTTCTTCAGTTGTATTTAGTATATGAGAAAAAAACAGATTCATAGACAATTTCTTGTGTTCTTCTGATTGTATATTCAGATTGTTTCTATTTCTGTTGCATAATCATCTAGAAGTGATTATTTACAGATTTTGTTGTTACAGGTTTTGGAAAGGGCTAATTATACTAATAAAAGGGTAATATGCTAATTAGACCGGATAGACCGGATGTCTTCTGGACGTTCTTCCGGATGTCCTTCTAGTCAAAGCTGCAGTGGCTGCAAGGGCTGAGAGCAGCAGCAGCAGGGTGATGGGGGCAGCACCTTCCCCTGATTGGTCCGGTCGCCTCCCACAGAGGGAGGCCAGACTGCAGCTTAGGACATTTCCTGAGGGCTCCTGGACTGTGATAGGGGGCAAGCTGGGCTGAGGGACACCCCTCCTCCCCAGTGCACGAATTTTCATGCACCGGGCCTCTAATAGAAAATAACTCCGATTACAAATACTTGGGCTGTGCAGTTTTTCTTATTGTTTTCTTTTGCCATTGATCGATTACTTCTCATGTTAAATTAACATTCTGATAAATAATTCCTGAGGCTGTTTTGATCAGTTGCGTCCTAGGAGAATGTGGAGTAGCCTTTAGCAGTGGGGGTGTTAAGATCCATGTTAGAATCCAGGTGTTCTGAAGGTCTAGTTTCTTTTTTTCTTCTCCCTCCTGCTGTGGATCACAGGGTATTTCTCTCACCCTATAACATAGTATAAGTGGCAATGCTATACTGTTTCTAACTTACAAGCAGCTGCTTCTGTGTGCTATGGGTCACCCTGTAAGCCAGCCCTAATGGTTTTCATGTTCTTTTCCCTTTGATAATTAGTTCTCAGTTATAAAGCTTCTCCTCGTTAGCAGCCCCTGACCTAAAAGCACTTTAAAATGATGCAGTCAATAAAGATGTACATAACCCACCCATGCTAGGATGTAGGGGGATAGTGGGCTTGAGGGTTGTTTGTGATGTGAGCAAGATATTAATGTTCAAAAACCAGCCACTCATCCTTCCTTTATGACAGATAGTTGGTGTCTTTATTTTATAGCACTTCGATGGCTATAAATGGACATGTTAGTTAGGAGGAAACATAACTTCATTTTGAAAAAGTATAGCAATCCAATCATGAGTTTTCTTTCTTAGGCCTTTTCCTTCTTCTTGAATGGAATGAAGGTAGGAGTTCTGATGTGCTGGTTATTTTGTGCATAGTTTTCATAATTAGACTATGCCTTGAAGGCAATATGGGCTGGGTTTTCTGCTTTCATTTCAAACTATGCCTCTGAGATTTTGTTTGTATTGATGGGTTATAAAAATGGATTCCAGGAGATGGATAGAGACCTGCGCACATTGATTCACGCTGTAAATGGCTCAGTGTGGTGTTGGTATATCTCTTTTTCACCCTCTAGGACTTTTCTCCTGGGGAAGGCATAGTACAAAGACTAGCATTACTTTTAGTTGCTTTGGACATCTTTGTTTATTCAGTATTTTACATTTTTATTTTACTGCATACTCATATGTAGTTAGTTGA